CAAAGTCCTTCTCTTGCGATGTAATGCATACATCATCAGCATATACAAAGCTCCTTGTATTGCTCTGTATGAGTTGGTCACTGGTATACACGTTAAAAAGAACTGGTGCTAGCACACTACCCTCTGGGATGCTGTTTCATCGTAGCCTGCAGCGGCTCCATTTCTTGCACAGTTCTATATAAAAACTATCTATTTTCCAAAATAGATTGGATGCACTGCATTAGGTGGTAGTTGTGCATCATATTATAGACTTGGGCAAGCAAGTTGCAGTGGTTGACTGTGTCTTAGGCCACTGATAGGTCTACAAACACAGCACCCTGTGGCACTCTGTATGTGGCCAAGCCCTGCCTGCTCCCACGCAGGGCAGCCAGCACCACACACCCAGTAGCCCTGGTCCCAGCCCCAGCCAGGTTGCACAACTTCCTGGTGGGACTGCAGCCGCCCAGATGCTGCTTGTCCCCACCCACACACACCTCCAGCAGCTCCTCTTCATTCGCCTTCTGTCCCTGCTGCGCCACTCTGGGCAGGGGGAAGGTGTAGCCAGGTGGCTCCTGCCCCAGCATGCAGGGCTCTGGCTCCAGCTGCTCTGCTGGGGCAATGAGCAGCCATCTGTGGGCAGTCAAGGGAATGGAAGGTAACTGGGAGCTAGAGCTGGGACCCCATGCACTAGGGCAGGAGCCACCAAGCTGCATCTTCCTCTGCCTGAAGTGATGCAGCAGGAGGAGGAACCACTGGAGGCAGGGGGGGCTGACCAGCATCCAAGTGGCTGCTGCTGCTGCACTGGGAGCAGCCATGCCAGGAAGCTGTATGCACCAGCTGGGGCCAGGGCCAGGGCCAGCAGGAGCATAGTGCTGGCTTCCCCAGGTGGGGTTTGGCCCCATGCTGAGTGTTGGGGGGGGTGCCATGCCAGCCACAGGCTGGATCCAGTCAGTTAGCAGGTGCCCCCCCATGGGTTGTATCCAATTGGTTGGTGGGCCAAATCCAGCCCATTGGCCATATTTTGCTCACCCCTGGTGTATGGCATTGTGACAGGGCAGGGTGCCTTGCAGCAGCCGTGATCTCTCCTGGCTCCCCCTACCATGTCAAGTCGGTGTCAATGCACCCTCATTCTCGCCCGCCATGTCTTTGATGTTAAGAGTATTAAGGGAGGCTGCCTTTTGTCCTCCTTGACATGGTACCCCTGATGTACCCCAGTCCGTGCCCCGCCTAAGGCAACTCTGCATTCACGCTGTAAGGGCTATGTGTAGCTCCTACCACCCTTGATACCACGCCCCAAGCTGCACGGATGTACCGGATGTTGTCTAGTCAAAATCCTACCTATGCCCTCCCTGGGGCTCAGGTGGCTGTAGCCATGCCTGGCCCCTAAATCCCCTCCACGGATCTACAACTCCTGTGGGCTCAGGCGGCCTCGGCCTTACCTGGCCCACCAATCCACTGTGCCCCTTTGCAAGGCTGGAGTCAACACCCCCTCAGTACTGTGCCCTCTCCGGCACCAGGGTCTCCACACCACTATGGAGCCCCATGAGGCCTCCTCCAACCCCTATTAGCCTCACCCAGTCCTCCAGTTTAACAACAAACAACAGAATGTAATAATGTGAGCCAATCAGCTACAACTCCAAACTAAGCCTCCAGGCTAAAATGTAAACTCTAAGCCATCAGGCAGTTTATCATCCCAAATCCCTACCAGGGCTTCCTCCACCCAGTCTCCTCACACGGAAGATGTTCAGGCATGGCATGGCATCTCTGCTCTGCTTGCTCCAACTTCCTCAGCTGCTAGAGGGGAACTGCCTGTGGGCTCAGCCTGGCTTGTTTATATAGGCCAGGCCCTGCCCCCTTCTGGTCAGCTGACCCAACTGTGGTTGCCCAGGCAACCCACACCTGTCCGTCTTTCTAGGAACAGGGCACTTTAGTGTCCTGTGAGACACCTCCCCCTTCAAGTTCGAGTCTCACTAGGAGCGGGGCACGGAAGTGCCCTGCAACAGGCATGTTAAAATGATTTTCCTCCAGATCAGTTTGCTGTCGAATCCATTTTTAAGCTGTTTGTTCGAAGCTGTACTGCTGAGCAGAAGTTGGTGAGCCACCTGGCTGGCTGTGATGTTGAGGTGCTGCTGTACTTTCTTCAGGACATTACTCAGCTTGTGAATGATTAGCCATGCTTTCCTGCTAGCACGGGTCATATCCATTCCTTCAATCAATTCTTTGCATTTCTGTCTCCTTTCTTCTTGGAGCTTGTTAATTAGGCCTGTCCCTGCCACAATAGTATCTTCTGAGAAAGGATCTCTTTGAAACATTTGCTGTTATCTTTTGTATTTGGCTGCTAGCGTGGGAGCAAGCCATGGTGTATACTCAGTTCTGCATCCTTGAGTTTATATACCTCATGGACGTTTTGCACAGTGCATTCACAAAGAAGTCCTAGTTATCCAAGACTGGTTTGAGGTGCATCTCTTTTTCGTCAAGGTCTTCAGAAAAGCCTCTCCAGTGTGCTTTTTTAAAATTGAAACATCTGCAGATTGGTACGACATTTGGGGTTATTATGACTGCTGTGACACTGCTAGCAGTTGGTCTGTGCTGTGTGTGCGGAAGGTGTTCCAACACGTCTTTTTTGCACATAATTTCTATATTGCTGTTAACAAAAGTGAGGTCTGAATTATAGCTTTGTCTCCATTGAGAGCTAGTCAAAGACCCAGGTAGCTCTGAGTTGTGGATCAGGTTTAGGTGGTATGCCTTGGCTCGCATCCCGACCAAGTTGCCATTCTCATAATTTTCACTGTAACCCCATGTGGTGCTGAGACTATTAAAGTCACTGATCACACATGCTTTTTCTTGGTCTAGGTTTCCTGGGCCCACAAAGGCAAATCACTTCCCTGGAGGTTTATAAACAGATGTTATTGGGATGTTGTCCATATTGGTTATCAAGATTTCAATGCAATTTTGTTGTCATCAGTGCTGTTGGTGCTGAGCTCTGGTTTTACAAAGATAGCACTGCCATATTTCTTGTGCTTCCTTTTGATGGCTAATCTTATCCCAGGGATTGATGGCCTATTGCTGTTTGGCCCTCTCTTGTCTCCTGGAGACAGAGCACATGCCCATTGTAGCCGGTGCAAATCCTGGAAAGAATTTGACTCCAATGAGTCCCTCTGTGTTTACAGAGATGACTGTCGCTGCCGGCAGTGAAAAAGGCTCATGGTTGTGACACGGCAGGTAAGCCTGGTGTGAATTTTGAGGTTTGCATTATATACGTTCTGAAATGACTGATGATGGGGTTTTAGCCAAATTTGCATATTTGTTAGGATCTGACAGGAGCCACATTGTAAATGGTTCTGCCATGGCCATGGAGGAAGGACAATAACCACCCAGGGAGTGGAAAGAAACCTTCCTTTAACGTGAGCGGGAAATGGGAGTGAATTGCAGGAACAAATAAGAAACTAGTTCTGCAAAGGATTGTTCTCCAGGCCCAAGATCAAAGTGGTGATGTGAAAGGCAGCTTAGCTCCCGCCGTCTCTAGTAGCCACTCTTCCTGTACTGCCTGTGGCAGCAAGTGCCATCATCCTGGCAGCAGTGGACCCAGCTGAATTCCAAGGTCTTCTCAACTTTGATTTTGACTAAAACCAAGGAACAGCTCCAGCTGTCTGCACTGATAACACGGCACTGATATTAAAATGGAACTCATGCCCTCAGTTTCGAGTTCCCTGCCCAAAGAGACTGCCAAAAAAACCAAAATAGGGGTCCAATAAAGGCCGATGCTGAACCTGACCCACCATCTGAGGATAAATAAAATGAGTCTGATAGTCTGAAGTCTGCTAACTTTAATACAATCTGATCTAATGACTTCATTTGCTTGCCTAGCAGATTTCTCTCTCAAACGGCACTTGCTCTGCCCAGCTTCTCCCTGTTGGCAGCTAGAAATAGTGCTTGGTCCTTGTTGGAGTTGAAGGCTCTGGGGGAAATTGCCCTGCATTTCCCCAGTCTCCCAGCAAACAGCTCAGTCTGTCAGCTGTATAAGGCAGCCAAGGCAGAACCCCAGAGTTTGGAGTCTGTTTTTCAGCTGGACAGCCTGCAGATGGAAATCGGTTATCTCAGGTCCATGGCTGGGGATCCCTCCCTGATCCAGCAGGCCCAGCCTCAGAAGGGTTTGTACAAGACTAAGCAAAAACCCTGTTCTTCCCCCTCTCCCCCCTACAAACTCTTAACTTGGACCTAAAATGACTTCTGCCCCAGAAATGCTTTTGAAAGGTGTGCTACAGAGCAAAAGGAAAGAACCATTTTATTTTATTTTTTGCTGCTGCCTAACATTTAGGAGCAGGGATTGGGCTTAACATTATATATAATTTTAATTGAGTTTTCTAGGCTACATTTCACTGATTATCATTTGATGAACTCTGTTTGTACATGACTGAAAGATAAAAGCTGCTAGACCTTTAGAGAGAGGATTTCAAGGTCAGCGGTCCGAAACTTTCCTTACTGTTGAACATCCTACTTCACTCTAACATTTAATGAAGGGAAACCAGAGCCACAAGTTCTGTACAAGCACAGTATGACTACTACAAGCTTGGAAATGATGGGACCAGTTGCAACATCCTCTTCACAGTCTCTAATAGCAGATCCAGCTCTTGTTAGCCAGACCTCTTCCTTCTTGGTACACTGGGTAAGAGTCCTTCAAAGCTACAAAGCCAAGCGAGAAGTGAGGCAGCTCAGGTAACCGTGGCATGGTAAACCCTGCTGTTCAAGAAGATGCTATGTGCAGGGCCTCTGAGAGGAAAGGTGGGGCCTGCACCTCATTTTGAAAACAGGTAGAGAGTGATCTGATTTTTTGCAGGGATTGATACCCTCATTACTTTGCTGTCATAGGTTCTGGCTATGTGTTTCCACCTCTGAAAGCCCCTTAAGGGGCCCCAGTCCTATTTTCCCTTTGACAGCCACTAGCTACTCATCACAAGAGTGGTGTGTCGGTGAGTGTGTTTAAGTTGAATATTTATGAAAAAGTTACTTGCACACCAGGGTCTGCATTTTGAGGGCTTTATTACTCCTCAGACTTCAGCTGCAGTGGAGAGGAAAACAGATCTTGCCCTCTCTTGTTGAGAGAGAAGCCAGGGGATTTGGGGGGCTGATCCAGCATGCTATTTCTTCTTGCGGTGAGTTGATGGCATGAGTCAGATGGTGCAGTTTGGGACCAGTTTATCGCTTTCGGATCAAGGCACCAATGACAGTGCTAGCAGTGATCACTGCACTTTTTGCAGCTCCAGAAAGTCCTAGGGCACCTGGGGGAAAAAAATAGGGGGTCAGGAGTCAGCATCACTGTATCATCCTAATACATTGACTCTCCTGGCAAACTAGTTACTCTTTTCCCAGGTCACTCCCACACAACACTGACCCAGTGTAAATGATTCCGCCTGCTTTTTGCACAGATGGAAGGGATTACCCTGTAATGCATTTGGTTGTTCAACCCTCCTCTCACAGGCACCGTAACCCCTGTATAGTACTAGTATATGGTACTTCTGTACTTTCCTCACCTGCCTGGATAGAAACTCCTGCAAGAGGAGAGGGATTTCTCAGCCAGTCAATAGGAGTGTCCACAGGGAAATCAGTAGACAGTTAGTTAGGTGAATGGTTAGCAGTTTTGAAAACCCCAGGGGATCAGTGATAGCAAGGCAATGATGCATGGTACTGTGGGGTGCTACACTAGAGCTCTGCTTATGTTACTAGAAAAATTGCTGAGGAGCAGTGGAGGAAGAAGACTCACCTGCATGAGCTGCACAAGAACTATGAACCACTGTGAAATGCCAGGTGCTTTCTACCCAGAATTGTCTATGAGCCATTAGAGCTGGAGGCATTCAAATGAAAAGTTAGCTCTTCATGACCTACCAAGTGACTGCAGACTCGGAACAACACCTCCAGCAGCCAGTCCTCCTCCGTTGGCTACAGCTGCTGCAGACATCATCTTGGCAGCCAGCGATCCAGCTGCAACTCCTGCCGTGGTAAATCCTGCTGCCCCCAGTGTAGCTGGGACTCCGACAAAAACAATTCCTGCATTGCCAAGAGTGATGCGGTATTAGTTACTAATAGGCTAATAGGATCCTGGAGCACTGCATCTCCAGAAGGACAGCCAGTGCCCTTAAGGCAGTGATTTTTTTTTCTTTATTTTTTCAAACTTTCTAGACTCCTGGCATGCCTCAGAAAATATTGTCTCTTCAGTTTCCCTTATTTTTGACTATGGAGAAATAAGAGAGCAATTAATCTGGTGCAGAGAACCAGAAAGTCCACAACAAATCTAAATGTTTTTTGAAGCTATGGTTTCCTATTTGAAATCTCTGGGTTTATCTTGTGAATCTTATACTGGTGTTTGCACACCTAGCAGTGCTAATATGGAGTGGTATTCTTAAAAGGATCTAAAGGCACACTACAGGAATGAATCGCCCTGGCTGAGAAATCACTACTCTAAGGAGAGAGAGAATACTTACCCACCAAGACTGAGGGTGCATGTTTTCCAGTTTAAAACATGGATCCAGCCTAGCTCATCCCAGTATGGGGTCTCTCAATCTGCAGAGGAAATACCTGGGGCATGGGCTTGTACATTTTTCATGCAGGCTTTCTATGAGGGTCAGTTTGGAGGGACAGGCTTGAGCCACCTTGCTGGGTGCCCTAAGAGCTTTCTTTTGACCTGGAAAGGAATCAAAGCCAAGAGAGGCATTCTTGCTCCCCACGTGTCAGTCAGACATGTGGGGAGTGTCCTCTGTATTGGGGAGGAGGCTTAGGCTTTGGAGGGGTACATGAGCTGAGTGAAGTCCATGCACTTCCTGATTAATTCCCCTCTGCTGGGATTGGGTGTGGAAGGAGCGATCAAGGAACTGGGTCCCTGTACTGTACGCAAAGGAGCCTTGCACAGGGGAAAAATCAAGTGAGAGTGATCAAGGAGCTGGGATCCTGGTTTAACCCTTTATGACAGATCCAGAAAAGACTTGGGAGACTTCAGAACAGTGCCTGGTGATTTACAGACATTCAGTCTTGTGTAGCTTGGATGACGGTATGACTGGAGACCTAGTGAGATCTCTCAGAGGAGGAAGGCCAAGCAATTGGGAGGCTGGGGTTGTTGCTCAGATGATTTAAGATAATTTAACGTTCTTTCCCAATTTTAACTCTGTGCCTAATAGACACTTGGGAACAAGGACATCTCAGAAGAGTCAACACCCATGCATCTTAAGTGTCCAGTTTAATATCTATAGGAATGACCAGCACTCACATCCTGCCCCACATGAAGGCCATAGCCCACTCCCTGAGTATAATGCTTATTCCATAATGCATGATGATAATTTAATTAACCATTCCATATCCTGAGCTAACATCTTACCTAATCCGACAGCTGCTCCAATGGCAGGGGCAACAAATCCTAGGAAAGGAGAGATTTATGAAAATGAGCCATGAAGGAAATGAGCACACCTTTCAGCAGAAAAGGCTAGATAGATGGAGGGAGGTATTTATGGCACTGGCTAGCATTAACAGATTAGACTTTGGTAAATGCTGCATCGAAACAGTGAAAGCAAAACTAACTGGCTGTTTGTTCAAGCCCTTTGAGGAGCAAATGTAATTCAGTGTTAAGTTCAGCCAGCACATGCCTTTTTTTTGGGAAGGCTGTCTTGTACTTGTCATACAAGAGGACTACAGACCACACCCCAGGTATGCGTGGGGCTAGCAAAGTTAGGAAGCTGGTGAGATTCAGCACAGTGGAAAGCAGCGGTGCAAATGGAAATGTGGCTTCTAGTGTCCGAAAGGTTTTCACAAGGGGCAGGGAGGGAGGGGAAACCTGGACATCCTGAGAAGCTGGGAGAGCAGTGAAAGTACTACCGCTTCACCTGGCTGTGCCTCACCAGACTCTGGTGCCAGCCCATCTTCCTGAGCTCGATGCTGGTCTCCTCAAAATCACTAGTAAATGGAGAGGAGCCTGAACCTGGATCTTTTCAACACACTTGCAGGGTTTATTGGGAGGTGAATCATCCTGGGCCTGCCTGTATACACGAGTAGGATATTGCATGTCCTCAGGCTCCATCACCTGGGCATCTGGGGTCTTGTGTCCATCAGTGATCTGAACTGTCTATCAGGGGAAGACTGTGGGCTGGGCAGGGACCACTTGATACCTCCAAGGGAAGGCGGCTGGTTAGTTTGTGTCTGGGATGTGTACAGTCCCTGTTCAAAGGTCTCATAGTAGAAGCCAAGTCTTACCCCGCATGTTGGAGACTGGATTGTTTTTGTCGGGTTTAACTCCTGATCCTGGAGCCCTGCAAATAATGCAGAAAATGCTGTTAGACTAGTTCAGTTCCCTCCCAACTCCAGCAACATCCAAGGCATTTTAAGGTAATTCCCCTCAATAAACCAGAGTTTCTGGCTGAGTCTGTGCTCCATGGTCATTCGAAACCAGGACATCCACACAGCTGTGGAACCTGGCCCGTGACCCACCTCTTGCCACCTACCCATCTGCTCCCAATGTGCAGCTCCTGCCCAGTGCATCATGAGAAATGCCACCACCAGGGCTCCAGGATATCACCCCTCCCAAGCCTCTTCCCAGCCAGGTCTAGTGCCTTCGAGTGAGACGGGGGCCGGGGGAGTCCTTTCAGCTCGCTCCCTGCGCATGCCCAGCTTCCCAGATCCCACAGAGGGAGGCAATGTTCACTGGGCCCCAGGATGCGAAGTCAGTGATGCTTAGCTGGTACCTACCCCAGGGAAGACTAGCCCCGCAGTCCCAGGAGCTGCATCCTTTGGTGACTGGCAGGGCCAGATTAACCCTTTAGTGGGCCCCAGGCAAACAAACTCATGGGCCCCTCCTTAATACTGTATATTTATGTTACTTTTTCTTCATTTGATAATTATAATATGTAAAATAAGCACAGCTGGGCCCCTTCTTCACTTAGGGCCCTACTCCTGTCCCTGATTTGCCTATGCATTAATTTGGCCCTGATGATTGGCTAGCCCAGGAGAGGGCATCCCTGGGACATCCAGTGGGGGACCCAGAAGAGAGACAAGGGCAGGGGTGGAACTGGCCGCTACCAGGTTATTGCTGCAGTTCCAGCAGGCACATCCAGGCGGTCTGGGGCCAAAGCACAAACCCCTGCTGGCAGCAGCTTGCATCCCCCACGCCTCCCAGAGCCTCTTGGGCTTTTGTCACCTCTTTCCCACCCCTGTTCTCTTTAAATGCCTGACTGGGGGTGAGGAGATGAAGCACCAGCTGCTATTGCTGCATCCCGCTGTCACATCCTTCCAGCCCAAGAAAGCAGAGGAAGGCCGAGGTTTCAATGCACCTAGTAATAACCTACCAACCTGGGTGTTGCTGGGCTGGCTTGGAGTCCAGCCACGCTTTGCAGGCTGCGCTGGTGACCCACGATTTCCTTTCGCTGTGCTGGGAAATGGAAACCTAATGCAAAAAAACAAGGCTGCAGCTGGGAGAGTAGTCTCCACCCCTGCTCCTTTCCTATTGGAATCGCAAGCAGAGGCGAGGAGGGAGCAAGTCTGCCGGGTCCAATAAGATCTGGCAGCACACGGCATCATTCGTATCCCTGGCAGGGTTTGTCTGCCGGAAGCAGCCTCAGCTCTGCCCCGGCTCCTACCTAGAGCCCATTAGCAACGCTTCATCCCTGTTGCAATGAAAGTCTCTTGCAGGGCAGCAGTTGCCCTCCAGCTCTCCAGGCAGGAATCCCCAGCTGTCAGCTGCAGGAGTTAAGATGGGATTGCAGGGTTTGGAGCCCACTGTCTGCTGGATGGACACACATATGGGAGTCAGTTACGTCCGGCCTGTGGCAGGGGATTTATAGCCTGTTTTTTTGTGCAAGAATAAGCAAAAGCCCTGAAATTTGCTTTCCCCCAGAATCAAGGCCCTTGTGGCACAGTCCTGAAATGGCGTTGCTTCGGGATCCAGGCCACCTGCTTCCAAACCTGAGGAACAGACATTAACCCTCCTCTTACTGGGCACTTTTTTAACCCAAAGTGGCAGCCTGGAAAACTCCCGAGGTCAAAGGAAATTAGTTAAATGGTGACCTTACAGAAAACTGGAAGTCTGTCAAACCAAAGGGAAAGGATTTGGGGTCCTGCAATCCTGACACTTGTCTGTGTACTTGTGTGTTCATATGTCTTATCAACCAGTGTCATTATTGCGCATGAAAACCCGTCACCAGTGTGGTACTAGTGTAAGCCTTTCACACTAACTGGGAAGACCAGGACCCGTTCAGCACCTACCACCAAGGTCTCTAGTAGCAGACGCAGCTCTCATTAGCCACAGCTTTGCATCCCAGCGCATTGGGTGCGAGAAACAACAAAGCACAGTAAGGAAAGAGGTGCTACAGGTAGCTGCACTGTGATACAGCCGACCACTGATGGAGAATGGTTGTCCATAATGGGTGGACACAGAATTGGACCATATACATGCTGTAGCACCCTCAGAGGAAGAAGCCATGTGTATCCACCTCTGAAAGCTTCCTAGGGTTTGTTTGGGGTTTTTTGACAACCCCTAGGTGGTGGTGGGGGTAATCTAGCAAGTTCTACATTTATGAAAAAATAATTGTATACCACAGCATACATGTTTATAAAGGCTTTTTCTTCCACAGCAGTGCTAAGCAAGGCACAACATGTTAGCTTGTACTAGGCAGATGCAAGAAGCAAGAGGTCTTCAGGGGCTGGTTCGACATGCAGTTTCTTCTTGAGCGTGCTGAAAGCGGTTCCCGTAACTTGCTCTGTATTGTATTTAGCCTGGTGGATGAATCAGGCATGCCAGAGGATTGTGCTTTGGTCACCCAGGGACCAGGGGGACCAGGTGCAGCTTTCAGATCAGGGCAAAAAGTGCCGCACCAGCAGCCGCAATCCCGCTCTGGGTGGCTGCAGAGAGTCCTGCAGCACCTGAGAGAAAAGAGGGTGGGGAGTCAGTATGGCTACATCATCCTAGTGCACTGGACCTCCTGCAGTTACTTGTCCCCGGCCCGGGTCAGTGCTGAAAGAAGACTGACACGATGGAAACGGCTCTGCATGTTTGCAGCACGTGGAAGGGGCTGGGGATCTGACCAGCCAAATGTGACCCAAGCTTTGCCAGGAGCCCCTGGACTATACTGTATTGGCAGGAGAGTCCATGTAGGCAGGTGAGCAGGAGATTCGCTCCAACAGGCTCCCCTGATACCCGGGGAAGCATCACTGGGGATCTCATGAGGAACAGAGTTAGGTGAATGCTGAGCATGTAAAATTCGGAAAGGCTGCAACTAGGCAATGAGCTGGTACTGAGGACATGGCCGGGGGGCCAGGAGGCTGAAGCAATGTCCCATATCACCCATCTAAGTTTAGTGAAGAGACTTGAGGACCACCACAAAATGCCAGGTGCTCTCTATGCAGAATTGTCCATCAGCACAGAGGCATTTGAACAAAAGGTTAGCTCCCTAGGACCTACCGACTGACTGCAACACTGCCACAGCACTTCCAGCAGCCACTCCTCCTCCGTTGGCTACGGCCGCTGCTGACATCATCTTGGCCGCTACTGACCCTGCAGCAATTCCTGTAGCAGTAAATCCTGCAGCCCCCAGGATTACAGGGACTCCAACAGCTGCGACTCCTGCATTGCAAAAAGCATTAGTTATAAAATGGGATCCTGGTGCACAGTATATCCAGCTTTCTGCTGCAGAACCACCTTTACATCCATTCACTTAGTGCTTTAGTGTCTTGTGGCTTGTACCACCACAGCGACAGGTTGGGGAATGTCTTTCCTCAATGAAGCACTTCCCCAATACTTAAAATAGAGATCCTAATATTCACGTGAGTTCAGAAACTGCAGCATTCCTTGGTGCATTGGTGTCAAAGAGAGGGTCATGCAGGACACGGAGGTGGGATGTTGCCTGGGAGGACAGAGCCAAGACATTGTAAAGTGCTTGTGGGGGGAAAACTCTTGCTAAGAGGCAGGTGTACAGTTTGCAGCTAAGGCATAGATCCAACCTAGTCTTCCTATCTGCAGGCACAATATTTGGGACAAGGGCTTGTACATTCCCATGAGGGTCAGTCTGGCGGGATGGCCTCCAGCCACCTTTGTCCCATTTCCCCGAGACCCCTGTCAGCATCCCTCGAGCTGGGAAAGGAATCAAAGTGCAAGGGAAGGGATTCTTACTCCGCACAGATCAGTTGGGGCGGGGGAGGCTCTGGGGAGGGTCTCCCCTGTTCAGGGAGAGGCCTTGGCTTTAGAAGGGCAGATGAGCTGAGTGGGTGAATAATGCTTGGATAAACCCTTGTTCTTTTTTTAAAATAAGCAGCCTGTCTCTTGAGCTAATGACTTACCAAATCCGATGCCTGCGCCCAACGCAGTCGCCAAAATTCCTGAAAGAGGAAAGGTTTGTGTTAATGAGCCATCAAAGAAGATTGCTGGTTTTCAGCAGACGGTTTTCCTTTGAATGCTGCTGGTCAGTATTAACGCTCTGGCATTCAAGTTGGAAATCCCTGGCACCTGAACCTGCCAGCTTTGTGCTGCTCTTCTCAAGTGTCTTTTGGAGAACATGCTGCTCAGCAGTAACTTTACCCAGAACATGCCTCTTTCATAGAATCATAAAAAAATGAGGGTTGGCAGGGACCTCAGGAGGTCACATCTAGTCCAAACCCCTGCTCAGAGCAGGACCAGCCCCATCTAGATCATCCCAGCCAAGGCTTTGTCGTGCCAGGCCTTAAAGCCAAAGGGTGGAGATGCCACCACCTCTCTAGGTAACCTGCTCCAGTGCTTTACTACCTTTCTAATGAAAAGTGTTTCCTAAGATCCAATCTAAACCTCCCTTGCTGCAACTTGAGCCCGTTGCTTCTTGTTCTGTCATCACTGAGAACAATGCAGCTCCATCCTCTTTGGAACCCCCCTTTAGGTCACTGAAGGCTGCTATTAAATCCCCTCTCTTCTGCAGACTTCTTTTGTGAAGACTAAATAAGCCCAGTTGCCTCAGCCTCTCCTGAGCAGTCATGTGCCCCAGCCCCCAAACCATTTTCATTGGACTATCTCCAATTTGGCCACATCCTTTCTGTAGTGGGGGCCCAAAACTGGGCACAGTACTCCAGATGTGGCCTCCCCGGTGCAGAATAAAGGGAAATATTTACTTCCCTCCATCTGCTGGCAGTGCTCCTACTAATGCAGCCCAGGATGTTGTTAGCCTTCTTGACAGCAAGGACACACTGCTGACTCATGCCCATCTTACTGTCCACTGTAAACCCCAGGTCCTCTTGTGCAGAGCTGCTGCCCACACGGCCGGTGCCTAGGCTGTAGCGGTTCTTGGGATTCTTCCATCCTAAGTGCTGGACTTTGCACTTGTCCTTGTTGAACCTCATGAGATTTCTTTTGAACCAGTCCTCCAATTTTTTGAGGCCGCTCTGAACCCTAGCCCTGGCCTCCAGCATTTCCAGTGACACCCCCCAGTTTGATGTCATCCACAAACTTCCTGACGGTGCCCTCTGTGCCGTCTTCCAGATCGTTAATGAATATGTTGAACAAAATCGGTCCCAGGACCAACCCCTGGGGCACTCCACTTCATACTGGCTACCAACTAGACGTTGAGCCATTGATTACTACCCACTGAGCCCCACAATCCAGCCAGCTTTCTATTCACCTTACTGTCCATTTGTCCAACCCATACTTCCTCTGCTTGCTTGTGAAAATGCTGTGGGAGACCGTATCAAAATACCCTGACTTTAGCAAGGCTATCGCATCCACTGCTTTCCCCACATCCAAAAAGCCAGTCATCTCACCAGAGAAAGCAATCAGGTTGGTCAGGCATGACTTGCCCTTGGTGACTCCACGCTGACTGTTCCTGATCACCTTCTTCTCCTCCAAGTGCTTAGAAATGGATTCCTTGAGGATCTGCTCCTTGCTTTTTTCCAGGGACTGAGGTGAGGCTGACCAGTCTGTAGTTCCCTGGATCCTTCTCCTTCCCTTTCTGAAAGATGGGCACTACAGTTGCCCTCTTCCAGTCATTGGGGCCTCCCTCAATTACCACAAAATTTCAAAGATAATGGCCAGCAGCTCTGCAATCACATTCGCCAACTCCCTTAGCACCCTTGGGTGCACTGCATCTGGCCCCATGCACTTGTACATGTCCAGCTTTTCTAAGTAGTCCCTAGCTTCTTTTTTCACCGTTGTTGGCTGCTCACCTGCTCCCCAAGCTGTGGTGCCAGGTGCAGTAGTCTGGCAGCTGACCTGGTCTGTGAAGACCAAGGTAAAAAAGGCACTGAGCACTTCAGTCTTTTCACATTGTCTATCGCTAGGTTGCCTCCCCCATTCAGTAAGGGACCCATACTTTCCCTGATCTTCCTCTTGCTGCTGATATACTTGTAGAAACCCTTCTTGTTACCCTTCACGTCCCTTGCTAGCTGCAACTCCACTTGCACTTTGTCCTTCCTGACTGCATCCCTGCATGCCTGAGCAATGCTCTTATACTCCTCCCAAGTTTCTTCTCCAAGCTTCCACTTCTTGCAAGCTTCCTGTTTGTGTTTCAGCTCACCAAAGAGGTCTCTGCAAAGCCAAGCTGGTCGCTTGCCACATTTGCTATTCTTCCTGCACATTTGGGATTCTTTGTTCCTGTGCCCTTGATAATTTTTTTTTTTAAATGCAACCAGCTCTCCTGGGCTCCCTTCCCCCTCAGACTGGCCTCCCAGGGGATCCTGCTCATCAGCTCTCTGAGGAAGTCAAAGTCTGCTTTTCTGAACTCCAGGGTCCATACTCTGCTGCTCTTCTTCCTTCTTTTTTTCAGGATCCTGAACTCAGTCATCTCATGGTCAATGTTGCCCTAGTTGCCATCCACTTCTACATCCCGCGCCAATTCTTTCGTGTTTGAACAGCAGAACAGGAAGAGAATGGCCCCTAGCTTGCGTCTCAAACACCAGGAAGTTATTCCCAACGCTCACCAAAAACGTCTTGGATTGCCTGTGCACGGCTGTATTGCCCTCCCAGCAGATATCAAGGTGATTGAAGTTCCCCATGAGAACCAGGGCCTGTGATCAAGAATCTTTTGCTAGTTGTCTGAAGAAAGCCTAATCCTCCTGGTCCGGTGGTCTATAGCAGACGCCCACCCCAGCATCACCCTTGGTGCTCTCTCCCCTCTAACTCAGACTTTCAGCAGGCCTGTCCCCAGTTTCATACCGGAGCTCTGAGCAATCATACAGCTCTTCTGCATAGAGCACAACTCTTCTCCCCTGTCTTGTCCTTCCTGCACAGTTTGTACCCATCCATAATAGCACTCCAGTCACCCGAGCTCCCACCAAGTCTCTGCCGTTCTAGTTGCATCATAGTCCCCCGACTCTGCAGTTCTTCCTGCTTGCTTCCCAGGCTGCATGCATTTGTGTACAGGCTCCTGAGGTCACTAGCTGATTGCCCTGCTTTGTCAGGAAGAATGAGCCCTCTTCTGTTGCCCGCTCCTGCTTCTACTTCCCCACCTACCACAGGCCTTTTTATCTCCATCCCCCTGCAGTAAGTGGGGAAGTGGGGGACCTGAAGGAAGGTCCTCCTGTCCTTGTATAAGAGGACCACTTTCCACACCTGGGGTCCATGTACACCAGGTAGCTCCACACTGGATCAAAGCTAGGCTCCTTTGCCATTTAGGGTCTTTTGTCTGTCAGTGTCCCAAACTGTTTGGGAGCCTTCAGTGCGATGCTGCGGCTAGTAAAGAGAGCAAAACACTGGCTTGCATCCATAGATGCTTCTCAAGCAAATCCCAAGACATCATTCTCCCCTTGTACTTGGCCTTGGTGAGGCCGCAGCTGGAGTACTGCATCCAGCTTTGGGCTCCACAATTCAAAAAGTCTGAGCCCCCAAGGTCTGGAATAGACTGCTGCCGGAGGTGGTTCAGGCACCTACTTTGAACACCTTGAAGAGAAATTTGGATGCTTCTCTTGCTGGGATCCTATGACCCCAGCTGACTTCCTGCCCCTTGGGCGGGGGGCTGGACTTGATCTTCTGAGGTCCCTTCCAGCCCTAATGTCTATGAAATCTATGAAATCAAATTCAGTGGTTCAGAGCAAGACGGAAGGATTTGGGGTTGCACGGGGGCTCACTGGCTGCCTGGATGGTTTGCCAGCTTGTCAATGGTGCCAGGGCTGTGTGCAATTCCTGTTCAGGGGTCTGTCGGTAAAAACAAAGTGGAACCTTACCAACCATCTTGTAGAGGGGAGAGGCTTTTTGTGGGCCTGGATCCGGGCGCGACTGAGGATAACACAAGAAATGCAGTTAGACCAGTCCAAATCCCTCAAAACATGGTCTGGTGGGGGCGAGGAGGGACACAGGGCTGGGGCTGCCACATCATAGGGCAGGTGCATCTAACAAGCCGTCTTTTCTTGTAGGTGCGTATCCCACTGCTACTAAAACTAGGGCCTCAGCGCAGCTGAGAATAGCTGACCTGCAACCCACCTCTTTTCCCATGTCATTCATTGGGTGGGGCCTTCTGGGAATTGCCACCATCACGGTTCTAGGGTAATGCACATCCAAGCCTTTCTTCCTGCAAGGATTAGCACTGCCTCTGTCATGGGGCTGGTGGGGGAAGTGCTTTCAGATCAGCCCTGAGCATGCTCAGGTTTGCACATCCCAGAGAGGTCGGGGAACGCTCACTGGCAGAGTGCCCACCTTTGCCAAATGGAAAGGCAAGACATGTCCCCCTGCCCTCCCCCCCAGCACAGCTGGAGTAGAGCCAAGCAGAGGGGGCAGGGCAGATGCAGGATATCTGCTGTGGGCTCAAGTCTCCCTGCCCTGTTGCCCTGCCCCTGGGAGCCCTGCATCCGCCGCACTGCCGTGGTGAGGCACCTGCTGCCTGCACAGCAACAGCAAAGGGCAAAACTTTGTGCTGCCACCGCTGCTGCTGCCAGGTCAGAAGGGGACACCTTGCCAGGGTGGTACAGCCAGCATGGGGCTCCGGGTGGTGGCAGCAGCATCACTCAGCCTCTCAGCCTTCCTGCGCCAGGTCCTGCCCGCTGCGGTGTGGTGGCCCCAGGGCAAGGACAGCAGGGTGGGGAGCCCCGAGTCCACAGTGGGCAGTCCGCTCTGTGTACAAACTGGGGTGGGGCACGTGCCCTCTCCCTGGGAGCACGTACAGCGGCAGGGAGTTTGTCCCCTTGCCACCCCTCAAATGAGCCGCCCGTGGCTCCGTCCCACTCCCTAGCTGGGCTCTATGGCCATGCATTCCCACCCCAGCCCTGGGCCCCACTTCCCCCCTCGCTGGTGGCCTCAATCTGTTCCCCTTGCCCACCCTATGCTTCTCCCTCCACCCCAGACTTAACTGCAGTGACATGATCTCTACCGCGGCCTGGCTGTATTCCCAGCCTCATGCATGTGTGTACACAGACACACATACACCTGGCGCCCCTGCATCCTGCTCCCCCCAGCCCCAAGCAGCCTTTTGCAGGCTGGAGCCCTGCCAACCTGCAAGGGGGAACCTCCTGTTTCCTGCATTTTTCCACAATGAAAGGAAAACCTGGCTCCCTGCACAATACCAGAAGTCCCGGACAAATGCTGTCCAAGAGTCGCTCAGCCCAGGACTGGGAGTTGGCGTTCACATTTCAGGGCTGTCCTGCCTAGTTAGGGCTGAGTGGTCAACCTCACTAGGCACAAGGACTGTAAAAGTTAGTAGTGTTTAGCTGGGGGCAATGCCGACAAGAATTATGTCAGAGACCCCAGGACCTCCATCCCTTAGTGATTAGTATCCCCGTACCCAAGAAAGAAATAGTAGCGTAAGTGCAATGGACTAGTATCAGGATGAACCCAAATGCTCACTAGATGCACACAGGAAGCATTTGCAATGCACCACAGCGAATCCCAAAGTGTCTTGAAGGGGTTTTGAGCTGCCCTCTCCCACTCCCTTGTTCCTTAGAGATGCCCTTAAGCCTGGCTGGGGAGGTGAAAGCAGCAGCTTTCCCTGTTTTCACTGCAAACTGTGTTTACAACTTTTTGCCCTGAAGAAGAACTCAGCTGCCTCCAAAATCAGAATTACCCTAAGATTCAAATGCAGGAAGGAAAAAAAAATCTATCTACCTTGTTCTGTAGACAAGAGAGTTCTCCAACTGTCTCTGCATTGAGCCCGCCTCCTCCTCCTTTTATATGTCCAGGGAACCAATGGCGCTTGCCTGTTAGGTTTCAGTTTCCCAGCTGAGTGAAACTTAGGATAAGAGCCAGCATAATAAGCAAAGGCTGAGCTGGACCCACCATGGTACACCCAAGATTGTGATTCAAAGCACCATTGGCAATATGAGAAAACAAGTCTGCCCGCTGCAGTAAAGGTTTGATTTAATAGCACCAGTACTTGTTGGTTGTCCTTTTGCTCTTTGAAATGGCACCTGCTGAGAGTAGGCTAGCTAGGGTAACCACCTTTTCCAAACTAGAAGGTGGGACACTTGCCCGCCTTCCCCACCCGCAGCACGGCTGGAGCTGGAGTCCACGGGGGACAGGGGCAAACACGGGATGCCTGCTGTGGGCTCAGGGATCCCCACCATGCCATCTTGCTCCTGGGAGCCTGGTGCCAGCCGCACCACCGTGGCAAGGTGCCCCCTGCCCATCTGGCAGCAGCAAGGGCCACAACTCTACACCGCTGCCACTGCTGCCAGGCAGGCAGAGGGTGCCTTGCCATGGCAATGCAGCCGGTATAAGGCTCCAGGGAACAACAGGGTGGTGAACCCCCAGCCTGCATCATCCTCTGCCCCACACACAAATCTGGGGGTCATGTGCTCCCCATGCCCCACTCCCCAGGAGTGCGCACAGTAGCAGAATGCTGCCTCCCCCCAGACAAACCACCAGTGCCTCTATCCTGTGCCCCAGCTGGGCCCTGTGGCCACACATTCCTACCCCAGCCCCAGCCACCATGACCTCCATCACCCTGGGGACCTCAGTCTGCCCTTTCTTCCCCACCCCCCCACCATAGACTTACCTGCAAGCAGCTGGGGAAGCTGCTCTCCGTCTCTGCCTAGGGCTGTATTCCTGGCCCTGTGTGTGTGTGTGTGCATGTACAGGCATACATGTGGTGCCCCTCTGTCCTGCTCCCCGCAGCCCCTTGCAGGCTGGTTAGCCCCCCATTTCCCGTGTGTTTCTATCCTGAACGGAAAACCCAGATCCTTGCCCAGTACTGCAGATCCAGGACCAGTGCTGTCCCAGAGTCATTCAGCCTGGGACCAGGACTTGATGTTCCCATTCTGGGACTGACCCGCCCAATGAGGGATGGGTGGTCACCCAAAGCCTAGCTCATCCCAGTATGGGGTGTCTCTGCCTTCAGGGGAAATACTTAGCACAAGTCTAGTGCTCCAAACGGGGTTTCTACAAGGGGCAGGGAGGGGGGGAACCTGGAGATCCTGAGAAGCTGGGAGAGCAGTGAAAGTACTACCGCTTCACCTGGCTGTGCCTCACCAGACTCTGGTGCCAGCCCATCTTCCTGAGCTCGATGCTGGTCTCCTCAAAATCACTAGTAAATGGAGAGGAGCCTGAACCTGGATCTTTTCAACACGCTTGCAGGGTTTATTGGGAGGGGAATCATCCTGGGCCTGCCTGCGTACACAAGTTGGATATTGCATGTCCTCAGGCTCCATTATCCGGGGTCTAGTGTCCATCAGTGATCTGAACTGAACGCATCAGAAAAGGACTTTGTGGGCTGGGCAGGGACCACTGGCTACATCCAAGGGAAGCCAGTTGTGTCTGGGGGTGCTTGTACATGTGGCAGGGGTTTAGTAATCAGGGTTTTATTCTAAGCCCCCTAAATTGAAATGGTAGCTTTTTAATGGAAACCTAACATTTAAATGTTTCTGTCATGGTACGGCAAGAGGCCCAACGGGTTGTTTTTTTGGTTTGTTTGGGGTTTTTTGTTGGAGCCAAATCCTGCCTGCGGCCAGGGGATGAGCTGCCAACTGGTCCCTGAGCTGCAGAAGGCCCTGGTTCTTCCCTCTGCAGTGGCCATACCTCCCGAGGCCACCCGGGCAGGCTGCTAGTGGGCCAGGTGCTGCCCCAGCATGGAGGCGCCACCCGGCTTGATCCAACTGTTCCCCAAGCCTGCTCAGGCAGCAGCACCCAGCAGGTTTCCAGCGGGCTCAGGGAACAATTGGATCAGGCATCTGAGCTGGAGCAGCACCCAGCCCAACATCACCTGACTGAGGCAGCCCCAGGGTGTGCCACTGCTATGCAGGGAAGGACCCCCCGCCCCATTTCAGTGGCCCCTCGGCCCTCCGGCGGTTCGTCCCCCCCCAGCTGCAGGAAAGGCGGGAAGGCTCCGCTAAAATAACAAAAAAGAAAAGATTCAGGCACCTCATTGCTTCTGCCTTCAGCAGGCGCCTGCAGTGGGCAGGACACATGGAGCCACCTGGGAGCAGGCTGGCTTGCCCCTGGGACGGAGCAGGAAGGTGGCAGGAGGCAGCTGCATTTTCTGGCTGCCGGAGCAGGCAGCGGGGATGGTGCACGGGGCAATGAAAGACTCTTGCAGGGCAGCAGTTGCCCTCCAACTCGCGAGGCAAACAGCTCTGGCTATTAGGTGCAGGAGCTAAGGCAGGGTTGCACAGTTTGCAGTCTGCTCTCCACTGGATGGGCACATAGACGGAAGCCACATTTATAATCTAAAATAACTGGACACCACAGCATACATGTCTGTAAAGGCTTTATTTCTTCTACAGCAGGGATAAGTGGGGTGCATCGTATTATCCTGTACTGTGCAAGAACAAGAGCTCTTCAGGGGCTGGTTCAACACGTTTTTTTCTTGATCATGCTGAAAGCAGTTCCTGTGACTCTCTCTGTAGTGCATTAGACTGATGGGCGCTCGAGGACAGACCAGCCAATGAGTCGCCGGGTGTCCAAAGCACAGAGGAGTAGCTGTTGCTTTCAGAGCTGACCCATAACTGCTGCACCAGCAGCCGCCACCGCTCCCTGTGCTGCTCCGGAAAGTCCTGCAGCACCTGAGAGAAAACAGAGGGTGGGGAGTCAGTTTGGCTACATCATCCTAGTGCACTGGACCTCCTGCAGTTACTTGTCCCCTGCCCGGGTCAGTGCTGAAAGAAGACTGACACGATGGAAACGGCTCTGCATGTTTGCAGCACGTGGAAGGGGCTGGGGATCTGACCAGCCAAATGTGACCCAAGCTTTGCCAGGAGCCCCTGGACTATACTGTATTGGCAGGAGAGTCCGTGTAGGCAGGTGAGCAGGAGATTCGCTCCAACAGGCTCCCCTGATACCCGGGGAAGCATCACTGGGGATCTCATGAAGAACAGAGTTAGGTGAATGCTTAGCATGTAAAATTCGGAAAGGCTGCAACTAGGCAATGAGCTGTGGTACTGAGGACATGGCCAGGGGTGCCAGGAGGCTGAAGCAATGTCCCATATCACCCATCTAAGTTTAGTGAAGAGACTTGAGGACCACCACAAAATGCCAGGTGCTCTCTATGCAGAATTGTCCATCAGCACAGAGGCATTTGAACAAAAGGTTAGCTCCCTAGGACCTACCGACTGACTGCAACACTGCCACAGCACTTCCAGCAGCCACTCCTCCTCCGTTGGCTACGGCCGCTGCTGACATCATCTTGGCCGCTACTGACCCTGCAGCAATTCCTGTAGCAGTAAATCCTGCAGCCCCCAGGATTACAGGGACTCCAACAG